TATATATATATATATATATATATATATATATATATATATATATATATATATATATATATATATATATATATACGTTTTTTTTTCGATTTCTTTACAATCTTAATCTTTTTAACAATTTATATACTTGTCTTTTATCGAAGGAATGAAATTTTGACAATTTCTTCATATATTTGTTTCTGCTGCTAGTTCTGGCGGTATTTGTCAGTGTGAACGATAGCATCATCATCATTATCATCATCATCATCATCACCATCATCATTATCATTATCATTATCATTATCTGCACCATCTCTTTAATACACCTCCTACACCATCTGTTGAAATATATCTCTTCAAGATACAGATTTTCTTACTAAACTCAAATGCGAAAAATTGTTTTAAAAAAAAAATTGCTTACGGATTTTGATAATTGATTGCTACTCTGCATATTATAGTCAACATCATTACCAACAATCTTTGCAATCGTAAATGTGATCAGAAACCAGCTCTGTCATTGTTACCATTTAGATTGATTGCACAAATGACCATTTAAACCGGATAACCATGTTGACGAAACCGTTTATCTTTACATTGTCATCGTGTACATGTATGCTTTATCACTTTCATATGAGTGAGAAAAATTTCTTTTTTCTACTGGCTTAATCTACCGGAAAACAGCAATGTGCAAAAATAAAGGGATCTCAAGGGTTAATTCGATCTTACGGTCTGAATGGTTTACGATTTGGAAACCATACTTTGCGTGTGATCTTTTAAAATGCTGGAAAATAGCAATCTCAGATATACTAATGAAATCATCATTATCTTAATGTTTGCGAAATATGCTGCTAAATTCTGATCCTAGCAATTTTGAAAAATTATTCTAAAATTCCTAGAAATCCTTTTTATACAGCTCAAAAAATGTTCGGTCAGTTGTGAAATCAAAACTGATCGATAATTGATCAAATTTTCCTTACCGAATAAAATTTACAATAATAATGTAAAGTGAAATGGTTGTCATTTTTTTATTTACATGGTAACTGATAGTATTTCTACTTAGCTAAAGCTGGAAGCAAAAAAAAGCCATTGAGATCATTAAAAATTTCAATTAAATTTCAATCATGCAACAAGTGACAATCCATCACATTTGTTCTAAGTGCTTTGAACGTGTAGTTCGATATGTTCGGAGGGATTGCACTGGGAAAAAAGTGATTATTTCTGCACGACAAGGACTCTTATTTCTGACTAATTATAGATCACTTAATTATTAATTGACATAATCCATTTTAACAGATTGATGTGTTCATGAAGGAAGAAAGAGAGAATGCGGATGAATTCAGTTGATCAATTGGTGTATCCGACATTGTCGAAAGAATGAAATTTTTCTAGTTCACTTGTTTCCGCAATGAAAATGAATTGCAAGAAGTGGTCGAATTTTTCAGAATGAAATTTCAACTGTTTGATTTGAAATTTTGCTCTCTAAAATTTAAATAGAAATAATAAAGGAAATATATAGTTCTGATTCAAAATGGTAACATAAAAATGAAATGATGTGAACGGAAAACGTAGATTTAAGCTTTAACTGTATCTTCAAATACAGCTTTCTATTTGTTCCTGTCAATCTTCGTCATCATGATATCCATGAGAGGACAACAGTGTCAATTCTTTCCTTGTCACTTTTACCAACAGCTTTGTCACCATTTTATCTTTCCTTATCCGATTACAATTTATTGTTGAATAGGACATATGAAATTTTCCAGTGGTAATACATACTTTTCAGATCAATCGTAAATGTTATTTGAAATTGCAAACTTTTGGGAATGGGATCAATGTACAACAACGTAACACTGAAACCATCTGTAATCTTGCCTTAAAATGGATAATTTATACAATACTACTTGCATTTTGCATGCATCTAGACAGGTAGAATATAATTTAAAAATTCGTCGGCTTCTTTTGTTCAAAACATTAAAAATAGGCAATTTCGACATGCATACAAAGAAATGTATGTAGAATTATCATTCATGCGATATCACCCATCAATATTGTCATCATCGTTGGACAACGCTGCTGCTGATAGTACCATGCCGTTCGAGGTACCTCTTTAGAATGAACCAACTCCTTCGCTATCCTCTTCTCTTATAACAAATTTATTGTTGTCAACAATATATATGTAATAGCAACGGTACAAAGTCCAAAAGTTTTGTGTATCTCCCCCCTCTCCCGCCCCTCCGCCTCTTTCGCAGTTTAAATAATTTATCCATCATTTATTCTGCGATATACGACTAAGAAAAAATTGTAAGCAAGGATACGGGAATTAGTTATCTTTGTTTTTTTATTGATTTTAATTACTCAAATTTTTTTGTAAAATAAATTATTGATTTTAAGTGCCTGTTCCATTGGTTAGCTTGCCTGATGTTGCACATCCAATTACAACATCTCTACCTCAGGTACCACTGTGACTCTCTCATTTTCGTGCTGATCTTATTGAAATCTTTTTTCTTTTTTTTTTTGTGAAATTATTTTTTTCAGTTTGATGAACAAAAAAATATCCGTTTTACAACAATTGCCAAATCTTCGAAAGGCAATGAAATTTGCTCTGTCAACATTTTCCGGTTTAGAATTCATTGAGATAACTCAATACAGTCAACATGTATTCAATGTTAAATTAAATCAACCGGAAACCAGAAATGCATTCACTTTACCATTCTGGAGGTTTGTATGTATAGCAATTTTAGATGTTAAAAATTCATTTTTACTTTTTTATTTTGAAATATTTTTAAATTCGCTTGTTTAAATAACAAAAATGAAATTATCTTTAATATACTTCAGAGAACTTCAAAATGTTTTCAACAATTTAGCAACCAATTCCAAATGTCGTGCAATTGTACTATCTGCAGCCGGAAAATCATTTTGTTCAGGAATGAATCTCAAAACTGAATTTGATGTCCGTCTTTTTCCCATTTATTTCAATTTTTTCTTTAATTTTTATCATTTTTGGTGCAATTGGAATTTCTCAATAATTTCCAGCAACTTTCGGCAATTATTCGGAGTGACACGTTGGATATTAGTCGTAAATCGTTGAAAATTCGTGAACTAATAGCTATATGTCAAGATAGTTTTACATCACTGGAAAAATGTCCAAAACCAATAATCGCCGCAATTCATGGCCATTGTATCGGAGCTGGAATAAGCCTTGTCGCTGCTGCTGACATACGTTATGCTGCTAATAATACAATCTTCTCAATAAAAGTTAGAATTCAATGCAATTATTCAGTGAAATTCAGACAGGAGAAGGGGTCATTAAGGATAATAGGCTTCAGGAGGTGGATATTGGCCTAGCTGCCGATGTTGGCATTTTAAATCGAGTTAACAAACTTGTTGGAAATGACAGTTTAACTCGTGAATTTGCTTATACAGCTCGTGATTTTCATAGTTCGGAAGCATTGAAATACGGTTAGTTTTTGCATTTCTTTTAAATGATGCGCAATTTTTTAAAACGCTATAAGATTGCTAATTATTCAAATATTAATCTTAAATTCTTATCAGTTAATGATTCTTCGTCTTATAAGGTTATATGCAATAAAACAAGGAATGATATAATCGGAAAATTACATTGTAAATTGGAAACTCTGATGCATGTAGGATATATTACTCTTAAAAATAAATTCTTGGAATCTTTTTGGTTGCTTAATTACTAAAGTATTGAAATTGATCATTTGATCAATTGCTGTGATTGGTCAAGTATGGATCAGAATTCAAGAAAATAGTATTGTGGCCAAAATAATCTTTAAATTCTCGAAAATTTCAAAAATACCAACAAAGATTTTTCTTTAACTTATCTTGCGCCTTCTTTTTAGCTTCTTAAACTGTTAGCAACAGAAAACATAAAGATTAAATTTGAGCAGACAACGATCATCAGGAGCCACTAAAATTTGAAATAAAATTCAATTTATAATGAATTTGTTTGGGGAGAAAGAATCATATTTGGTAAATTAGATATTTAATGGAAAAATTCATGCGTTCTTTTTAATTTTGCAATTTGTTTGCTTTGCATCACTGCATGTCAACTATAATGAACATATGAATGCAAATAGGTAGCTAAACATAGTGTCAACAATAAAGCAATCATTTATCATAGATCTTATTAAGCATAATATCGCAACAGTTTCGTGAGGAGCGATTAACTTGACATTACAAATACGTAACAATTAAATAATTGAACTATTTATTGAGGATATATCGTTATTCCTGTTGATATTTGAATCAAACGAATATGCATTCAAGGTTTCATATCTCGACAATTCGATAGTACCGAAGAATGCTTATCAGCGGCTTTATCACTAGCTGATAATATTGCCATGAAAAGCCCAATTGCTGTTCAAGGTACTAAATTAGCGCTGAACTATTCTCGTGATCATCCTATTGATGATTCCATCCAATTTATCCGCACATGGAATCAATCACAGCTTCAATCCGAGGATTTATTCCAAACAAGTGCTGCTGCATTTACCAATGAGAAGCCTAAATTCAGCGATGCTTAATATGCTTGCATGCAAAAACTGGTTCATTTTGGTGACAGGAATTATTTCAATCATCTTCATGGTTGTTCTACCAGTAGAGAAATAATTGCTGATATGATAATCTGTCATATAACCAAGTGAAAATATTGTATTTTCCTGAAACAGTGCTTAGCATTCTCCATTTGAATCTATTTAAACCATTAACACATATGATATCTGATCAGCTGATTGAAGAAATCATCTACCTTATTTTCCATCACTTTCTACAGTGATAAGGTTTACCATAGAAATTTATATAGAACTTGTTAAATCACATGTTATAAATATTATTCGTGAAGAATGATAGAGTGATATGGTTCAAGCGATTAGCTGATCTAAAATCTTTATCATTTATGGATGAAAAAATATTTTATCTCATCAAAATGGAAAATATTGGGCATGTACAGACACATTGTTATTAAAAATATGTTTTCCTATTGATGACAAATGCGCCAAAATGTCGGGAAAATTAATAGAAAATGAGCGGTAATGAAGAGGAAAGATCCTTTTTATTCATCTAAAATTTTCATTGTAGGAGATTATGAAGACAGAATGAAATTATGATATAATATTTCTGCATTTTTGCATTTTTTGTATTTCAATATTTGCTGTTACTTCATTTCAACATTACTCTTTTCTTTTCATTGATTTCTTTGTTTGCTGATGATATTTATTCGGATTTCATCTTTAACCTATAAAATTTTCAGTATTAATTGAAGATAGCAAAGTGGCAAAATTGTTTCTTTTCAGCAATGATTACAACAGGGTTCGTTTGTCTTCCTATTTTTTTTTTTTTTATCAATTAATAATTTTCGTTTCTTTTCACCTGTTTGAGCGATTTTGGCGAGGAAAAAAATCAATTGTTAATGGTGCCGAAATTTGAAGAAATACTGATTTCATCAATACTTTTATTCCTGGGCTTCAAAAAATAGAAGTTATGGTTTGAAAATTATTATAAAGCAAAATAGACATTTCCAGGAGGTTTGCAGGACAGACAGTGATTATCACGGGAGCTTCCCGTGGTATTGGCAAAGAAATTGCCCTGAAATTAGCCAAAGATGGTGCTAATATTGTTGTGGCTGCTAAAACTACTGAACCACACCCGAAACTACCTGGAACAATCTATTCAGCTGTAGAGGATATCGAAAAGGTTACTTATTCTTTTGTTTCTTTATGACAGTTACGTGAAATATATTATGTGAAGTTGAAACAGGACGAGCTTCTGACTTCAATTCCAATTTGATGTTTACTTTTATCCTTACGTGTAACTATTCAATTCCTATAATGTTTTTGTTTATTACAATGATTTTTTATCTTTTTTTTTTCCAGTTCTGTCATAGAATTTTCATTTTTACTTTTTTGTTGTTTAACTTACTATAACTATAGGTAGGTGGCAAAGGTTTGGCATGTGTAGTTGACGTACGTGATGAGCAATCAATAACAAAAGCAATCTCGAAAACAGTCGAAAAATTCGGTGGAATTGATATATTAATTAACAATGCTAGTGCTATATCACTTACCGGTACCTTACGAACAACAATGAAAAAGTTTGATTTAATGCATCAGATCAACACACGTGGAACATTCCTGATGTAATTATACATATACAATAATTACTGGTATACTGTATGTTACAATTCCAAAAAAATCAGTTTAATAAAATTGATAATCAGAAAATTGGAAAGATATTTGAAAATTTAAAATAAATTGATATTTACATTCTTATTTAATAATGATACCTTCTATTGAGGTCCCAAAAATGTATACCATTTTTAAAAAATGGTAAAAACCCACACATTTTGAATATCAGTCCTCCATTAAATATGGCTAAACAATGGTTTGCTAATCACGTTGGTAAGCGTTGACATTTGCGTACTGATAATATTAAGGAAATAACGGATAAAGAGAATAAATCAGTGACCTCAAACCTTTTCACTACCAGAGATCATTTTACCTTTTTTTTATTTGTAGCATGAACCATAAGACTCAAATACAAAAATTCTGTTAATTTGAAAATAAACTTTAATCGGAATTCCTAACATATTAGTTTATCAAATATTGATGAAAATAATTCCCGCCTGTTTTCTATTCATCGCACTTCCATTTTGGGAGACCGTAATTTAATTCTCGCGGACAACTGGAATAGATAAAAGAAATAGAGAATTGTAAAAGAGGAATTGAAAAAGAATGACAGTTATCATTTGGTTGTTATCATGATTGTCATCATTGATAAGCTTTCAATTTCTGGCTTATGTATATCTTTTTCTAGCGTACACAATGGCCAAATATGGTATGTCAATGTGTGTTTTGGGAATGCATGAGGAATTACGACCGTTCAATATCGCTGTGAATGCATTATGGCCAAGGACAGCTATTTGGACAGCTGCAATGAAAATGATTTCAGCTGAAACTGTTCAAAATGTTTCTCCTTACATTTCCTTTTCTTTTTTTTAACTAATTAAAAGTAAAGAAAAAATTTCCTTTTTTGTAAAGCGCAAATGAATCATTTGAAGCGGTATGAAACATTAAAAAAGCTAAACATTAAAAATTAAAAAGGTAAAAAGTACAAAAAAGTAAAAAATAAAAAGTAGAAAGTAAACAAAAAATAGAAATAATAACAAAAAAAGTTTCAATGAAACTTAGACATTTCCAAAATTTATTGTTAAAATTAGGTTAAAATAAAATGTTCTTACGAAAGCTGGGCTGAAAGGAGAACAGTTTATTTCTTTTCTTTTTCGAATATAATCTTTCCATAAGTTTCAGATAACAGCATAAAACTCAAAAAATAAATAAAAAAGGTGGCATAAAACTTATATGTTTTGTCCTCAGCTATATTAGGAAATTTTACAGAATTGTCGTAAGCCAACAATTATGGCGGATGCTGCATACGCATTACTTTCTCGTGATAGCACTCAATACACCGGAAACTTTGTCATCGATGAAGGAATTTTACGGGAAGAAGGAATAAAAGATTTCGATCAGTATTCCATTGATCCAGGTAATTTTATAGTGATTGTATTGCCATGCAAGTGAAATCCAGAAAACTGGTCTAACCGAAAATGCTTTGAGCAATTAATTAATCGATACATCTTGATCACATCCTTCATCCTTCACCTATAAATACTAATTCTCGTTATAATATCTTCCATATTAATTTTCAAAATAACCGCTGAATTATGAAGATCAGTATATCTAGGAGCAACATTATTAGAAGATTTCTTTCTCGATGTTGCGGAAACAGCAAATTTTGAAGCAATCAGTTCAGTTATGTCATTGCATACAATGATAAATGAAGTCAAACAACGCATTACTCCGGATTTGGTCCAGAAAGTTCAAGCGATTTACCAATTCGATGTGCTAGAAGGTGAATGGTTCCAAAATACTTTCTAAAATTATCAGTCTTATCATTCCCATATGATACTATAGGTATTTGTATCCTACTTCATATCTTACCAGCTGCAGTTTTCTGTGACAGATACTTTTCAGATTGAATTTTTGTACAGCAAGAAGGTATAGCTGGAACATGACAAATTAGAGAGTTACTAAGTACAGCTAATTTTGCTTCAGTGTTGCTTATTCAGCTAGCATTTCCTTCCGAAAATTATCATTCATTTTGCCGAGAATAGTTTTGTTTCATTTTTAGGTTCAAAAATTCATAGCATATATTTCAATCTGAAAAATGGACAAGGCGGAGTTTATACATCGTTAAATAATACTGAAAATGTGGATGTGCATTTCATAACAGACCTACAAACATCATCCAAACTATTTAGTGGCGAATTGTCACCGACTATGGCAGTCGCATTTGGGAAATTCAAAATTGAAGGAAGTATGGAAAAAGCTTTGTTATTTTCACAACTTTTTAAACCGCCAAATAAAAGTAAAGTCTGAGTGCAACATTCCAATAAAGCAATTTGAAGCATTTATTGAAGATTTAAGCAAATTATAAAAAATTATCTTGTAGTTTGTATGCTAGTGTAATTTCATTTTAAAAATTGATTGGAATTTCAACTTAAAAATCAGTTGAAGTTCGAGCAGTCAAATGAACAGTTGGGAATAAAATATGAAAAAGCATTTGGAATGAAGCACAAACGACGATGGTATCCATATGCAAGGTAAAAGAAGCAAGATGTCCATTGTCAACCTTACGGTTCAATGGACTTAAGCAAAACAATGTGAATGACACAAAATAAAAAGACTGCACATTAAAAAGGGCTGTAATTAACCGCTGTGAGACATTTCCAGTGGCTGAGAGATATCCTGAAAACAAAGATAACCTAAGACATATATTAATAAGACATATACCGGTTTTTTTTTTTTGTATAAGATCAAATTAATATTTGATGCCTTTTTGGATGATTTTGATTAATGATCGATAAAATGTAACAGAACCTGGCAATACCCAGAAACAGTTACCTGATTATTGAAAGGTTGGATGTTCGGCGAGACTTCGACATTATCGGTTGCTAATTCAAATCCAGTCATATTTGATGAATCATACTGTTCTGATGTATCAATTTCCATTTCCACTTCTCTCTGTTTAGTACGGGTCATATCAGCTTCTATTTCAACATCAGCAGTTTCAATTGGCACAGCAAGGAATGAATTCATTGGACGATAATAACCGTAGTGGCCAAAAACTTCTAACTTAAGGCCTTGTCTTTCTGGAACAACATCCGCAAGCATCCCAGCGTTCTTGGCAGTTACAGCATCATCCAGCTTTTCAGTAATCTGACCATCAAATGGAGGTTCGATTTCCTCCAATGATTCATCGAAACCAAATATCTCATCATTTAGACCATCAACATTCAAGTCTCCTTGTTCTGCATCTGTATCTGCATCAAGAGAGAAGAATCCTCCTGACATTTTTGCAGCCATAGCCATACCTGATTCATTGCCAAGACTACGTTTCTCTCCATTAATTTCCGGCCATCCATCCAGTGTACCATCCAGGAAATTAAACGGCTCGTAATTCTTTACACAAAATTCTGCAAAGATCTTGTCTCACGACGAACCAAATGAAAATCCTTAAGAATTTCCGCGTTGAGTGTCATTAGTTTAACTTATAAGATGACTCCATGAAACCTTCCAAAGCACTACGAAAAACCAGAAGAAACATAAAAAATAATTAGTAAATGTAACAAAATATTACCAAGATCTCTTAGTTGAAGAGTTTTTCGTTTGTCAAAAACCGCCTGCCCATAAGCTATTTTTGCCAGCAGGCCAATGAAACGCTCCTGGAATTTCTGGGAAAACACATCCAAGACTTACAAAAAAAAAAAAAAAAAGAAAAAATGAATGATGCTAAGACAATGATCTCATCAATTTAGTTCAGTTAAACGCTGTCATTTACCCTGAGAAGTTCTTAATATTTTAAAAAAAAAAGAAATAGCAGACCGTTGCAAGGGTGAGAAGTTGCACAGCTTCAGCTGAAATAGCCATACAGTTCGAATCAAGTCGAAATATTTTTCTGACACGTGTGACAGGTAGTTGCGTCCGTAAAGCATGAATTACTGAACTAGCAGAATCTTCCATCCTTTTGCACTGAAAACAATTTGTGTGTGAAAGAAATACAATACGAAATATAGTACGGTTAATTAATTTAATAATATTTTCGTCAATGAAATCTGAAGCCATCAAATTGATGGAAGAATTGGGCGCATTCTTTGATATGACATTGTAGCAAATGGCATGAAAGAAAAAATTAAAACTTGAGAGGAAAAGAACAGATTCATTTTGAACAGAACAAGTTTAATGGTAGAGGCTAATGCGGTTTAATTAACGAATGAACAAAAAATGCACAATTTGTCAGCAATTGCGCATTTTTGTTGAAGCAAGAAGCGACAATGACAAGAAATCAATGCTATGATAAACAAAAATGATAAGTGTCTCGATAACAGCCTTTTGAAGTAACTCATCAATGAAGCTAACTGATATGGTTATATATTCTGTTTTAAGCAAGAGTTACATTTCAGGTTTTTCCAGGTTGTTTCCTGTTGCCTATTTTAGCAGCCTTTTGGAAAGAGTATCAAATGACTATCTAATACTTCTTCTGGATATGGTAAAGTACCTCAATTGTTTTTCCGTCTAACTGATCAAATAAATGATTTAAACTGAATCACTCAATAGCTGACATTAATGATCTGTCTGTTCAAGTGGTTTACTTATGCTTTGTATTAGCAAGAGATATTTAATCAGAACACAAACAGCCCCACTTTTGTAACCATTCAAATCCCATCGATAGAAATGCCTGGAAATCTCGGGGGACAAAAACGAAACGCAACATTACTTCTCCCGCTTCATGAACAAATTCCCGCTCGTTTTCCCCTTTAATTTGTGAATTTGGAGTGCTGCAGCCAAAAATTCTAGCTAGAGATAATTAATTAATTCCTTAAATTCTACGTTCGCATTTTTCATGTCATGCACGTTTTCACATCATTCACGACGATTAGTGGGATTGTTTATTGTTGCCACTGCCCTAAAAATGATTTGGAAATTATTCCAGGTCATTTTAATCAGTTTGTGTTAAACCTGCCAGATCCATCTGAAATATTCCAGTATGAGGCAATAACGGGTGCTTAAAGGATTTTGGACCCATTGAATTATTTTTTGAATCCTATGGTTACTTTTAACTCTTGATTTTATGATCTGCTTATAGTGAAATGTTCATGACTCCAACCTGACTTCGGCCATTCTCACATTTCAACAAATAAATTCCCCGGTGCAGTTTTTTTCTTTCAAAGAAAATAGTAAAGACGAGAATACTGTAGTGGAGATAAACATATAGTTACTAACCAGTCAGTTAATTAGTTAATTAGTCGATTGATTACTAACCAATTAATTAAAAGTAGTCGAGAAAAATCAAATTTAAAAGATGGTGTGAACCGCGATGATTCATCTCATTGACAAGAACAATTAACATTATTGTGATAACTTTATCAATTGAACTCGAGACCACTAATTGATACTGAGAACCACAGACATATGACAGACAGATGAGACATATTCGGATTAAAAAATGACATGGAATGACATTTCATTGATACTAACATTCATTCTCAGTGATCTGCGAACTAAAACAATACACTGTGATGAAAGATCACAGGGCTTCTTCGATTTGTCCATTTACAGCAACTGTTGTCTTGTAAAACAAAGTTATTGACCAAATAAAGTTAATCAAATACTAACATTCGTTAACTAGTTAATTTAAACGAGCGCCTAAACCATTTCCAGTTAAATCATTTAGTCTCACAACTTCCTTTAAGTATTAAATCTGATAATAAATTGTCTTCAATAAAAGCTTAGCTGTGCAAATCGTTCGTTGAGCAGAAATTTTTTCCCCATTGTCTGTTTATGCTTTTGCCCTGAAATCATACAAATATGGTTGTTACAAAAGCAATGATAGCATGACAATAACGAATCCAATAATTACCGTATCACTGGTATTTATGACAAATATTGATCTGCAGTGTTAGTGACAATTATGATAATTATATCTGTGATTACTTGCAATATTCGTGGGAATCTCTGAAAATTCCTTTCGATTAATTTTTTGATGATTAATGATTCAGTGGAATGAATGGAAATACGGTGCATTTGTTCAGTCGATGTATAGCACATTCCTTTCTTGGCTTACGGTACTATCAGACGCCTCTTCTACCTGAAGGTGCAAAAGCTTTTATCAACGGTACTATTCTCCCAATACCTTTTCTTTTCTTTTTCTCCACATAATTCAGTGTATTACAATGATAAGATGAATTAGAGCATAGTGCAAATTCGAGGAAATAAATGAAATATTAGATATTTCCGAATAAAAGTGTTTCGATCAGGTTGAAATGTAGTTGTGCTTCGGTCAGGGCAAAGTATTTTATAAATGAACCGAAATATTTTTTGTATATTTTGTATTCTCCAATTGGTTCTGTTCTAATAACAAACAGCTGGAAATAGTAAGCAATATTCGATTTGGAATAATATCACGGATTGCCGTTCTTTAATCAAATGAAATAAAAATATTCCGAGAGCTTTCAGTTTAGTGACCGATAATTTCTTTGTAGGTCATTGGGTTAATGCATTATCGAACGTTACATTTCAAGTAGTAAATCCATACAATAATGAAGTCATTTGTGAATGCACCAATTGTGATGCAATCGATGCGGAAAAAGTAAGTCATACTATCGATTGCATTAAAAAAAAGTCCATCAAATTTAGGATTAAATTCAGTGATAAGGGTTTTAAAACAAAGTAGTCAACCTAAAATTTAGTTGCAATAAAATTTCAAAATTAAAGTCTGTGAAAGCAGCACGAGAAGCCTATGGCGCATGGTCATTGTCCACAACCGCTAAAGAACGTGGTGCAATACTTGAAAATTGGCATCACAAAATGATGGAAAAGAAGGATGAATTAGCTGAACTAATTACTCTCGAAGAAGTAAGTATCTTCATTGATTCTTGCAAAGTTCATTTAGTTTTTGCATTACTTAAAGTTATATGATTATTTCACTTTTCTTGCGAAATTGCTCTGACCTCAATGGGCTGATTTGCAATTTTTAGGGCAAACCATTAGAAGAAGCACGCGGTGAAATTGTTTATTCAGCATCATTTTTGAAATGGTTTGGCGAGGAAGCCCGACGAGTATATGGACAAATCGTAAACCCAACATCGACACATCGAGTACATTTCCATACTCGTGAACCGATTGGCATCGTTGGCATCATTACACCTGTAAGCTTTCCATCCAATTTTTTTTATAGGTTACGGTCTTCCCAAAAAGAAGCTTAACTTTGACTGATGAACCTTTTCTTATTAATTGAATTAAACCTAATGGAAATCCCATCTAGCCTTACTAATAAGCATCTAGTTAAAAAATACCATCCTGGTCACTTAAACCCTTTTCTATCTAATCATGTACCTGTCCGTAACTACAGTGGAATTTCCCATCGGCAATGATTACGAGAAAAGCGACAGCAGCACTGGCGGTTGGTTGTACGGTAGTTGTGAAGCCTGCCGAAGATACACCGCTTTCAGCACTTGCTCTTGCACAGGTTATTCCTTTTTCTTAGTTTTTTATCTTCCGCATTTGCTACTTCGTTGATAAAATTGAAGTTACAGTCAAGAGAGTGATAACAGTTGATCACAAGCAATGATTACTATCATATTGTGGTGAAAGTAATATTATTGATAGGTAGATAAGAACGATTGATTTCTTTTTTCTCCCTTTTAATTTTTGCTTGACTAATAGTCAAACTTTAAAGTTGGAATATCTTTGCAACAACCACCCAACATGTTTTAGGTTTCAGATAGCCAAAGAAGCTGGCCTTCCAGATGGTGTCTTCAATGTTATCCCAGCTGATTTAAAGAATACGGCGCAAATAGCGAAATTCTTATGTGAATCGACCGATATTAATGCAATTTCATTTACAGGTAGCATTGAAGTGGGAAAGGTGAGTCAGATTTTTCCATCACTTTGAATGTATTTAAATCATGTAACTTAGATATTTCATTGAGATTATTATATAACGACTATTTGTTATGCTAAAACATGTTCTAAAATAATTCAACCATTCTTTGGTCATTGCTTATCATCATGACATCATAAACGCTTATTAAATGTAGTTTTTTTCATATTACAGTTTCTCATCCGTTGTCACAATCATAGGGCTTACTTATTTTACCTTTTTGCAGCTTTTACTTTCGCTATCAGCTAGCACGGTGAAACGAGTATGTCTCGAACTAGGTGGTAATGCACCACTTATCGTATTTCCGTCGGCTAATCTTTCAAAAGCAGTTCAGGTTTGTTTCTGATGATTTAACATTAACGAGAAATTTTTCTCACAAGACTAAAGGGAGCTATTCCAAACGATGATAAAATTAGGTTACTTTTCATTGCTTATCCACTGATCAATGCAATAATCAAGTTCTTTTTTCTTTCCTTTCATTACGGTTTGTTTTTACAAATACAAAATACCTGTCTTCATTTTGAGAAAGGTAGGATGAGATCTTGCTTAAATAATAGAAATTGTTGCGGATAACGCAGTATAAACTGGCAGAGATATGAGTGATGTGAAGATGAATGGAATTTCAAATTTCAAATTTTTAGGGAACAATGGCATCGAAATTTCGAGGTTCAGGGCAAACATGTATATCACCAAATCGTTTTTATGTGCATTCCTCAATTTATGATTCGTTTGTTGAGAAAATGAAGCATGCAATGACGAAATTGGTTACCGGGAATGGTATGCGACCAAATGTCACCCAAGGACCCCTTATAAATGAAAGAGCTGTACAAAAAGTAATGTATAAAATGATTGAAAACCTTCTGTCATTAAATACAAACCTTTAAATGGGTTTTTTCGATGTCGAAAAAAGATCTCATTTGAAGGTATTTAAAGGTAAAGCCACATAAAGTAACTTTCGTTAGCAGTTATTCTTCACTGCAAATAAGTCCTTAAATAAGTCATACTTTTGCAGAAGTATACAAAAAGAAAACAAATTTAGTAAAAAGCTTCCTGGTCTGCTAAACTGTTATTAACAAGTCAACTTGAAGGTTGAACAGCTATTATCGAATGCAACTCAAAAAGGCGCACGTGTGGTATTGGGTGGAAAGCGTGATCCTCAAAGTACCTGTTTCAAACCAACGTTATTGATTAACGTAACCAATGACATGGATATCGCTCACACTGAAATATTTGGTCCTGTTATTGCTATCCAGAAGTTAGTCAACTTCCGAAAATGGAAGTCCCGGAACTCCTTTTTCGAAACTCTGCATTTATTGACTGAATTTACGCTCAGTTCAAGTTTAATTCAAGCTTAATTCCAAAATTAATTTCACGTTAGCTTAATTCAAGCTCTTATTGGGAAAGCTAATCTATTGACTTCGTTTTCTCAGCGATACAGATTTATTCGGGATGTAATATTGTTCTTCCACAATATTACTAGTTAACAACAAGAAAGGTGTAAAATATATATGTATATATTACGCGGTGAATTGGTAAGCAGTGATAAATGAGTTATATAATAAGCAAGCGTTGTGATTAACTAACAAATTCCTTGTCGTTGCTTCGATGATAGTTTGATTATCGTTTTATTGATAGGTTACGTAATGGTTGAGATATGAGAATTCGTCCTTCGTTGAACTGGGGATATGTTGCAGGAAATAATTTTAGCGAAAAGGAGAGATACTGTAGTCTGTTGTTCAATGATGGTGGTGGATATGCGAAGAGGATGTTGCAGTTTGCTTGATTAGTAAAAAAAAAAAGAAAAACTGAAGTTTCGAATTTTTCCTCATATATATGTAAGGATGAGGGAGGAGTTTTGTAAGGGATCATCATGGAGGCATCGTTGCCCTTTGGCATTGTCCATTATGTAGGTACATTGG